AGGGAGACTGTGCACTGGGACAGGACGCATGAAGCATATGTGGAAGGGATGGGGACCGAGTCAAAGTACACGCGGGGAGTCCTCAATCCACGGCTGTGGTGGAACGTCGTCAGGGTGTTCTACCGTGGGCTGAGGGAGCTGATGTGGGATCGAGTGTGGGGTGGGCAGAGTACGCACACCATCATGGTGAATGCGGCGCAGACGTATGGTAATACTGGCAAGCTGGGCAACCCGGTACAGGTGGTTGAGATATAACACAACTTACATATTCACAACCCGCACAGTAATGGTAATCGTAATGCATCAAACACAACAGCACTTCATTGTCAGGAATCTTTTCGAACAGGAAAGGATTCTGTTGCTTTACCCTGACTACCACATATCTCTACGGAAATAGCCAAGTTCAACATGGAGACCAGGCATTTGCCGTTCCCCGCGACTTTGTTGTGATTGAGGTCATGAAACATGAGCCATGAATCGTGCTGCCATTGCATATACCAAGGTAATGCCATGCCATGTTCCACCAAGCCAAACACGTGCTTTGCGCACATGCTCAGAGACGGCGACCACGGCGACCACCCTTCCTGCGTGTGGAGTCGGAAGGTGTGGGGGTGACGTCCTCGATACGTCCAATGCGCATGCCAGCACGGGCAAGAGCACGGAGAGCGGACTGGGCACCGGGGCCGGGGGTCTTGGTGCCGTTACCACCAGTGGCGCGGATCTTGACGTGCAGGGCAGAGATGCCGAGCTCCTTGCAGCGGGCGGCTGAGTTTTCATTAGCCTGATATCTGTCATGTGTCTTTATGCTGTGTACGCACCGACGTCCTGGGCAGCCAACATGGCGGCGTAGGGGGAGGACTCGTCACGGTCGGCCTTGACCTTCATGCCACCGGTGACACGCGAGATGGTTTCGCGGCCAGACAGATCGGTGATGTGGACGAAGGTGTCGTTGAACGAGGCGAAGATGCGGGCAACGCCGAAGACGAGCTCGCCCTCACGGACCTGGGGACCAAGCTGTGCGCAGTCAGTACACAATCATTTGCGGGCACAGTTAAGCGGCGCAGTGTCGTCGTACCTGGATGTTCTCCTGCGCACCGCGCTCGACCTTCTTCTTGGGAGGCATGTTGGCTGTGTATTAGTGACTGGCTGACGTTCGTGAGGAGTTCTGAGGTCGTCGCGAACTTTTGCAATTATTGAGGTGGGCCCCACGGCTAAGCGAGTGGTGCTTAGTCACGCCCGCTAGCGTCGTAGAAAAGTGATCTCTTCACGCGCCCCAACACCTCCAACCTTTTACCATGGGCTGAACACCGCGCTCAACACACGCACTGCAGTGTGCACCGCAATCAATATGTATGATGGCAAGAGCGTCGGTATCATCGGCATGGGCGACATGGGGAAGATGTACGCGCACAGGCTGAGCGCCGCTGGATGGAAGTGAGTGCGCGGCACGGGTCCTGCAGCTTTGCACTTGGTAAGTCAGCTCCTACTCCACCCTTTTCCCCTGTTATGATGACTGTGAGTGCATTTGGCTCGAGTGTGGCGCACGACTATACTGCCACCGTCTTGGTTGGCAGTAATTAGGCGTGTTGCTGCCAATGATGTGAATTCTCGCTACCTTAACTTATACAACTCTGATCCCAACAACTTCTTCGCATTGTTCAGACACTTTGTCTTGGACCTTGCTAACCAGTGCCCACAGATTAGTTATGACTGACGCCGTCAAGAGTCCACGCATGCGACGTTCCAGAGAAATTTGACACATTGGTGGAAGAGTTCAAGGATCGTGTAGGATAGTCTATGTACATCAATAGAAGCATGCTGAGACTGCTCCAGTCCAAAGTTGAGATTATGCGAAGCGGCCACTTTGTCTCCCGATGCAGCGACTATATTATCTACAGCGTCGAAGCGAAGAACATTGATGCCGTTGTGAAGGCGTTTGGGCCGTGTATGTTGTGCTTGATCGTCGGATGAGTCTTGACTGACCTCGTGAACAGCCACCAAAGTCGGCGCCATTGTCGGCGGCCAAACGTCTTGCAAAGCCCCAGAAATTGCAGCTTTCGAGAAGCACCTCCCGAGCGACGTCAGCATCGTCTCCTGCCACTCGCTCCACGGGCCCGGCGTGGACCCTAAAGGCCAACCGCTCGTCCTGATCAAGCACCGCGCTTCAGACGAGGACTTCAACTTTGTCGAGACCGTCCTCTCCTGCCTACAGTCCAAGCACGTCTACCTGACCCGCGAACAGCACGACCGCATAACCGCCGACACCCAGGCCGTCACGCATGCCGCCTTCCTCAGCATGGGCGCCGCTTGGTCCGCCAACAACCAATTCCCCTGGGAAACACCGCGCTACATTGGCGGCATCGAGAATGTCAAAATCAACATCACACTGCGCATCTACGCGAACAAATGGCACGTGTACGCCGGCCTTGCGATCCTGAACCCCGACGCTCAGAAGCAGATCAAGCAGTACGCCGAGTCCGTGACCGAGCTATTCAAGCTCATGCTTGCGGGGAACCGCGACGAACTGTCGCGCCGCGTGTATGCTGCCCGCGAAGCCGTGTTTGGCGGCGCGCACGAGAAGAAGGAAGGCCAGGAGCTGCTGCTGCGGGATGATTTGCTAGACCGATTCAGCCTGGGCGAGATGCCAGAGAAGAAGCTGAAGAACAACCACCTCAGCCTCCTCGCTATCGTGGACTGCTGGTGGAAACTAGGCATCGTGCCGTACGACCACATGATCTGCTCCACGCCTGTAAGTCTCATCTTGCGAACGACGACTCGCGCATATGCTCTGCCTCCTCGCTAACTCACGCAGCTCTTCCGCATGTGGCTCGGCATTACCGAGTCGCTGTTCCGCAACTCGGCGCTCCTCGAGGAGGCCATCGACACCGCCATCAACGACAACACGTTCCGCGCCGACGATCTCGAGTTCACGTTTGCCGCGCGCGACTGGAGCCAGCGCGTCAGCCTGGGCCATTTCGAGTCGTACAGGGAGAAGTTCGAGGGCATCCAGGCTTATTTTGAGCCGCGCTTCCCCGAGGCGACGAAGATGGGGAATGAGATGATTAGGGCGATTTTGGAGAGGTCGAAGGAGGGTTGAGGGTTAGGGTCTTGGGTGTGGGTGGGCGGTGGAGGAGGGGGAGGCTTTTGAGCGTTTAGACTTGCGGGGGACTATAATGCGCAAAGGTCTATTTCAAAAAATTCCCTTGCATCATCAGTCACTTCAGTGCATTCTGTCCTTTACCGCATGCCCTTGTTTACACACCACTACACCAATGTTGCCTCATCCGCGAGCGAACCGGCACGCAGATATCCACGAACGACCACCCACAATACTCCAAACACACAAACCACATAACGTACTCCACGGGCGAGCCGATCATACGGGCGAGCCGATCACTCTGCCAAGACCACACCAAACCTCTACCTTACCACACAATGCCTCAACAACAACACATTTGAAATCTAAGCCCTTAAAAGAAGCTGCGATACAGCTTGCGCTCCAGGCAATTAAACAAGACGCGACACTTACATTGCGACGCGCTGCAGCTATCTATAACGCGCCTTACACCACACTACACGATCGATACACAGGACGACCTGCACGAGCTGATTGTACGCCGAATCAACGGATTATGGATCAGACTGAGGAGAATGTGATTGCTGAGCACATTCTTGAGCTAGATGCACGAGGATTTGCCCCTCGGCTGGCTGCTGTAGCTGATATGGCCAATTCTTTGCGTGCTGAGCGCAATATGGGCCATGTTGGCGTAAACTGGCCCAATACGTTTGTCAAGCGCCGCCCTGACCTCCAAGTAATGTTCAATCGCAAGTACGACTACAAGCGAGCCCTCTGTGAGGATCCAGAGATTATACAAGGCTGGTTTGGGCTTGTAGCGAATGTCAAAGCCAAGTATGGCATCCAGGACGATGACACATACAACTTTGATGAGACAGGCTTTATGATGGGCCAGATATCTACAGGAGCAGTTGTCACAGGTTCAGAGCGTCGAGGACGGCCCAAGGCAGTGCAGCAGGGCAATCGAGAGTGGACCACGGTCATACAGGGCATCGATGGCACGGGATGGGCCATTCCACCCTTCATCATCTTCAAAGGCCGCTACCACCTCTCTGCCTGGTACAAAGAGCCTGATCTGCCCCAGGACTGGATTATTGCAGTCTCTGAGAACGGATGGACCACCAACAAGCTTGGTCTGGACTGGTTGAAGCACTTTGATGGCCATACAAAGAGGCGCACCCGAGGAGGGTACCGGCTGCTCCTTATTGACGGCCACGAGAGCCACAACTCCCTTGACTTCCAACAATACTGCAAGGAAGCAAACATTATTACACTGTGTATGCCTCCACACTCATCGCACCTCTTACAACCACGCGACGTAAATCGCATAAAAGAAAGCAGTTACAGCAGGAGGGGGTCCTAACAGCTGAGGAAGGCCTTCGATTAACTACTCTAAATGAGTTTGGGGCGCGTGGTGATGGTAAGAAGGCAAGGAAGCGAGTGCGTGTTGAAGGAGGTGAGGCAACCCAAAGACGCTGTAAAAAGTGCCACAAGGTAGGGCATAGCTCGCGCACGTGTAAGAAGGCTGCAGAAGGTGTTACTGAATGATATTATGTGCTGTACTACTGTATACAAGGCTAACATGGGCCAATGCGAGCCATAATAGGGTGGAGGTTTGGTGTGGTCTTGGCAGAGTGATCGGCTCGCCCGTGTGATCGGCTCGCCCGTGGAGTACGTTATCAAAACACTCATCCTCGTTTCTAAACACTCATCGTCCCAGTCAGAACATCGGCAAAATTTCACCATGAACGAACCGAGACCATGGCAAGCCAAATAAATACACATTACTACATATGCCTCCAGTAGGCATTGTTTTGCAAAAGTTTGCAAAAGAAAGCCTCGAGATGGGACTACTATCGCTTTGCACTTTCTGCTACCAATGTGACACAGAACGGCAAAAAAGTAGTATTGGTCGGCAAAAGAGTGGACCGACGGGTGATCGAAACCCGGACCTCCCGCAATCTGCGCAATGATGCAAAGCGGGCGCTCTACCACTGAGCCATCGGCCCAATTTGTTCTTAGGTGTTTAAAGATAAGTGTTTGAAAAATTATATGGTTTAAATAGTTCTTTTTACCAAATCATCGTCATCTGCTAGTTGGTGGGGAATTCTCACACCTATCATTTGCGCTAGCCTGGACGAGTAAGCAACCTCAGGGGCACATCTCAGCTGCCTTAACTTTGATCCTTGCCTGTACTGCACACGATAATCGTCGACCGACCAGCGTCTGTAGGGCGCATACCCGTTGCGAGGGGCACAGCACCTACTGCTTTGCAAACAACCTATATATTTACAATGTACAACAGCATCAGCGTGCATACTCGGCAATCTCGCATCTTCGAACATCGTGATAGGGTGCATGGTGTTAGGGGTAGGGTCTCGATCCAGGAATTTGACTACGAGAGTGATCACGTGTACGAGAGGGTTGTTGAAAATGCTGTGGAATTCGGAATCCTCCAGCCCCTCAAGGACGTTAATTGTTGAGAATACAGTCCGCAAGTGACTTGGTGGTATCAGGCGGAGGAGTAGTCACATGATTGGTGGCACGTGTAGGTGGGTCCTAGCGGGGAGCTTGGACGCAGCTGCACGTAACACGGATCTTCGAACTCGTGAATAGCTCTTAAGTCAATACAACACGAATCGTACCACCACTACCGTTGTGCCTTAGAAGAGCGCTCTATTAGGTAGTCATACTACTACTAATAGTGCCAGCTTCTCAATATTAATCAACTTATCAAAGCCATAGATAGTCAAGTTAACGCGAAGAGTTAGCAGGCACAAAAGATGAAGAAGGGTTACACGAACTATGTGGATGTCTTGGACATTCTGACCGGTTTCCGGGGAGTGAGCCAAGGCCTTGAAACAAGACGAGATTTCCGGCATTTGCTGAAAGCGCGTGGCGGCTTTCACAGCTTCTACGGAGTGGTTGATTCCGGCGACCGAGTCGCCTCTGAATTCGCGGATGAAACCGATCAACATGCTCAAACCCTGCAGATCCAAGGCAGACGCGAACTTGTTCATTAGGGCCAGAAGGTCGTTGTCGCCAATCTTGGCGGTTCTATGCGCAGACTGCGTGAGGCGACCGCCCTGTTCAGGGTCCGGGGTTGTGTTGTGGTGGTGTATCTAGTGGCAAGTGCCTACAACCCACATCAATGAGCCTCGGTGATATCTGTGCCGCTCTTTCTGCTATCAGCATGGCTTCAGTGAAGTCTGGGGCTCCAGCAGTCTCTGTTTCGGCGGGTTTGCGCGCTCCGAGGGGCGTCGCAGCCTCGCAGGGCATTCTGGGTGTTGAGGTGTGGCTACCTTCCGTGGCTTGTGGCCAGGCACGGCTGCTCTATGAGATAAGCAACGAACAGGAACGAGTGTTCATTGTGCAATCACGCTAGTTAGTTTGTTTACTTCGTACTAGTTAAATAGCCCATCGGTCAGAACTTTGCTTCTGACTTCATACAACACACTACTTCAACATTCAACACTTGATCCCCAAGCAAAGGCGCGATGACTTCGATGTGCTACGAGTTAGCCATCACAAGGTATGGACAACAATAAGTAATGTACAATCAATCACACTTACTAACATTTATAGGCTGATACTCCCTCCCAAACAGTTTAGCGGCACTTCATAGGCAACCTCGAAACGTCAAAGACGTCCTCAGCAAAGCGCCATAGATGTCGAAATCCGTCCGCTCCTTCTTCACCAGGGTTATAATGTCAAATTACTGCCCTTATGATCTTTATTTCTGGACAGTTGGCCCAGCTGGATCAGGCTTCAACAGCACTAATCAGGAAGCACTTACAATTCCGGCTAATTCCCTGACCGTACATGGAACAAACACAGAGGCAATCCACGGTGGTATTTCACTAAAGATCCGCGACTTGCCACGATACCAAGTGGCTCCAGCTGGAATAATCCAAGTCGAGTACAATCTCGTGCCTAGCAAGAACGACATTTGGTATGACTTGAGCGCTATAGATGTTTCGTTGACGAGGATTTTTGAGGGGGATTTTGGTCGAGGAGGTGGTTTTCTGGAAAAATGTTTTCTTAGTGGAAGTGTTTTGCTGGAGGAGAGTTTTGTTGGAGAAGAGTTTCGGTGGAGACAAGGCATTGCGCCCAGTGGTGAGCAGGGCGTCGAGGCCCCAGACTGGCGCGACCAGCTGGCAGCAGCCAGCTTTGCCGAAGATGAGTTTGAGGAATCGGGGGAAGTCGAAGACGACACCAGTCCTGTCGCCGCCTCGCCCTCTGTGGCTCCAGAGCCCACCGCCGCCGCCACCACCCAAGCTGCTGCCACTATGGCGCCTCTGGCACCTCGCCAGCCTCCAGGGCCGATCATCCCCGTACGATGGGGAAGAAATCAGGCGAGCAGTCGCTAGAAAATGTTAAGAAGGTGGTGAAGAAGGCGGCGGGCGTGGTGAAGCCAGCAGGACCTTTTTTTAGAACGACATAGCTGAACAAGAGAGAACGAAGACATTACAACACTCAGAAAAGTGTTTTCTTAAGATCTAGACGGTATTTGTAGACATTTTCAACACTTACACACACCCACTATCCCATCAATTCCAACATTTTTTGCACTATAAAGAAGGGTGATTTCGTGTTGTTGACTCACATCCCCTGCCGCACCCCGTACGCGTCGAGAACGACGAACGGGCATGAGAGCACCCCCCAGGACCAATCTCGCACGCGCCCTCGACGCAACTGACGCGATTCGATCTCGATCTTGAAGCAAACACACATTGTCTGGCACTTTCAGCAGTGAATTCCTGCTCGCAACCAAGCTCCAAGAGCGCACTGTTCGTGGGAATTGCGCTGGCATGCTTCACCATATCGGCAACGCCCAAGCTACTCTACTAGACTTCAAAGACTGCGTCCAGATATGCTGTTAAATACGTGTGACTTTAATGCTGTTGAGTGAACATAGTAGTAGACTCGACTTCCTCGCCACCCCCTTCAACCCTGTACACTTGACCCGAAAACATACTTCCCACACTCCCCCCACGGCATCGGCATCCACTCACAACAACGATACTTCTACAAGCTACCCAGTCTCGTCTATCAAAAGCCACGACAAAACAACAAAACAACACTTCTTCCCACAGCGCAGAGCTAGATTCACATGTACCACCCCTCGACAAAACTTCGAGTAGCCAGGCCCTCCCGCGAGGATTCAAGTGCATATTTCCTAACTAAACGACGGGCAAGATTGTATAGAGTCTGTTGACTGTTGATTGTACCTATCTGCTGTTCCGGGTGGATATGCGACACACCTCGTAGGCTGGGAATGAGTATATTATACTGTAGGATTCTTAGTACTTGATATGCATAGTCCTCTAAATGCTTACTGCACAGATGTGGATATCTACTTCTTCTGCATCCTCCGAGTCGAGCAGGGTACGGTGGTTTAGCGCGGTGGTTTGGCAGCGCTGCGGGCGATGGCGTACCGCACAGCATGAATGACGATGGTGTACCGCACAGTCCGAATGGCGATGGCCTCACAGTCCGGAAGAGCGATGGCCTCACAGTTCGAACAGCGATGCCCTACCTTATAAGCCGGAAGAGCGATGCCCTACCGCACAGGCCGGAAGAGCGATGCATTATGCACGCACGAGTCCTAAGAAAGGAGATTAAGGTTATAGACCGCCGCACCGCGTCTTTCACTCGAACAAAAGGGTAAGTAGCAGGCAAGGGCTAGAGTAAATGTTAGAAGGCATAGAACTTACGCAACTTCTAGGGGGCGGATAGATGGATTTGAGATGCTGATATATGTGGATAGATCTTACTAGATTGTGACGGTGTCTAAGGTCTTGATATTGGCACTGCTGCTGCCATCTGTTTGCGCCGCGACGCTAGCAAAGTTGACTTTACTGCCTTAGTGCTCACTCAAGCTCATCCCTGGGCGCTAGTACTTGTACCGCTCTGCCTCTTCCTGTCTTGTATGTGGATGATGCTCCGCCAGGGCACAATTAAAGTAACATGTGCGGCTCTGTAGGATCTAGTTTAAAATCTATAATAGCTAGCTTAACTACAATAGCGTATAGGCTCTTAATATTAGCACTACTGCTACTTCTACTGCCTTAGTGCTCACCCACTCATCCCAGGCCGCTAGTACTTATACCACTCTGCCTCTTCCTGCCTTGTATGCAGATGATGCTCTGCCAGCGCGCGGTCAAAATATACCATACGCACAAGCGGCTTAGCTGCAGGATCTGACTTAAAATCCACAAGAGCCAGCTCAACCACGACAGCGCATGGGTTCTTGATATCGGCACCGCCTGCTATCCGCGCTGCTGCTGCTATCTGTTTAGGCTGCAACGCTAGTGAGGTTGACTTCACTGCCTCAGTGCTCACTCAAGCTCATCCTGGGACGCCAGTACTTGTACCGCTCTGCCTCTTCCTGTCTTGTATAGGGGTGGTGCTCTGCCAGCGCGCGGTCAAAGTGATATATGTGCACGAGCGGCTCAGCAGCAGGATCCAGTTCAAAAACTACAATGGCTAGCTCAACCGCAACGGCGCATAGGGACTTTAATATTGGTACTGCTGCTGCTATCCACGCTGCTGCTGCTGCTATCCGCGCTGCTGCCATCCATTTAGGCCGCGAGGTTGACGTTTTAGTGCTCACTCAAACTCATTCCCGGGCGCCAGTACTTGTACCGCTCCGCTTCCTCCTGGCGTGTATGGGGGTGGTGCTCCGCCAGGGCGCGGTCAAAATGGACCTTGCGGACAAGCGGCTCTGTGGGATCCCGTTCAAAATCCGCGATAGCCATCTCCACCGCAACGTCACACAAGCCCTTAATATCCGCGCCACTGCTGCCCTCCGTTTGGGCCGCGACACTAGCCAGATCGACATCCTCCGCCAGCGGGCGGCGGCGGGTATGAATTTCGAGAATCTGCCTGCGCGCAGGCAGCGAGGGGAGACCGATATGAATATGCGCATCGAAGCGGCCGGTGCGAATAAGCGCAGAGTCGAGGATATCGGGGCGATTTGTGGCAGCGATGATGAAGACGTCTTTGA